TTGCTTGATCCACTTGACCATTGGACATGGGTGCAGCTCCAAGTCCTTGGTAGTCCTTCGCTAGGTCAAGAGACTCACAGATCCAGCATGATGATGGGGGAAAAGGGGTGGAGTGAAGACGGTAGAGAGACGACCCGGGTCGGCTCCCCAAAGCGACATGACCCATGGGCAAGTACCCTGCACCAACAGAGCACACAGGTCAGTGATGAAAAGGAGAAAAGTTTCAACAACTTTTGTCTAACAAGCCAAGTGCAGACAGCGCTTGGAGACAGCCTTCTCATCAGGTCTCAGATCGCTTCTTCTAATTAATTAAAGATCAACAGTCTTGTTTAGTTACACCAAAACTAATACATAATCCTAACTACATGATAGTGTTACCAGGTTCGGAGCTGTGAGATGAAAAAGGAAGATTTTCTTTGAACCTTTTGTTTCACAGAATCTTTGCTCATTGACTTTTAATGACATGTCAAATCAGATTATTAATAATGACTGGAAAATCATGAAAAGGTACAATTAATTTGTGTGCAGCAAGTGTCCTTCATGACCCAACACAGTAGCATCACTTGTATTGTACTTTAGTCCTTGAATAACCTACAAGTACATGTATCCAATACCTGCTCTTACAATACACAATTATTTACTTGGTCATGACTATAAACTGGAATAAAGAATTTCCTCACTACACTTGAGCCTTTGACTTGACAATTGTCCGTCAATAACTGGTCAAATACTCGGAAACAACGATAATTCAATTTCCATGTACATGTACATGCATAACTCTTAAACTTCCATCTCATGTGTCTGGTACACACATTACCTTGGACACATACGTGAACACATGTACATCCATTTAAAACAAGCAGTCCTTGTAATTCAAGAAAACTAAAAATGCACAAGCACCTTTGTTCATCATAGATTCTCATGCATCACATTCTTATGTGGCAACTGAACTTATCTGCCAAATTCTGCATTTCTCACTAAGTACATGTGCGTATTCAGTCCATCTGGAATTTCCAGATTGTTGCCATACTCTAAACACTACACATTTACATGTACATCATGCTGTCCAACCCCTAAAGATCCATCTAAATAACCGTTCATCAATTCACACCTCTTGTAGGCCTACATGTGCTTCAGCATTTCTACTTGGCCACAACCAGAGAGGGACACTGGTCTTAAATGAATAGAAATTACTTACATTATCTCTATAGAATCTAAGACATATCTTGTGTCACTCGAGGAATGTGCTTATTTATCCCCAATGTCTAAATGCAATACATACAATGTGCTTGTCACATGGTCTGAGAAACAACTCCCTTTTCAATCCATTTCAATCCTTAAATATCAGACAATCTCCAACACAAATAATGAGCTCTAAATGAACTTGAATATATGAAGATTCCATATTTGATAACAGAAAATGGAAAGTACATACTCTGAGATGAAAAAGGAAGATTTTCTTCGGACCTTTTGTTTTACAGAAACTTTGCTTATTGACTTTTAATGACATGTCAATGAGACAAGATGAAGAGCGCCCTCTATCTTCCAAAAGTTACAAGTATACCCAGAAAAAGTTGGGGGCCTCAATGCTGATATGATTTTGAGAGGACTTGATGTACTTTGTTCAAATAAGGCAAAATACATAATTCATAGCACATTTTAGCACAAAATACATTTACTCAGGAAATGAGAGGCTGGTAAAGAAAATGAGGGGCTGGTAACAATAGGAATAAAACTAAGATACAATGAAACTAACCGAATAAAACGTGAATGAATAAACAAGATTATTATTAAGTAATGCATAACTAATATGTTCACCCAGAACACCTCGTTTAAAAATACACTAAATAATATCCGGGAAAGTTCGCTAAAACTTCGTAGGCAATCATAGGTTAGCTGGTCAATGCGAAGTACACATAGAATAAGCAAGAGCAACGTATAAATAGTTAAGGGTGGCTGGCCTAACTCAAGGTCAGTTTAGTGTAGAATTACACATGGAACACTTACTTCCATGAACATGGCAACAACATGTGGCCAGGAACCATGGCATGCGATAAGGCTTGACTAGACTAAATTGTGTGGAAATACGTAACAGTGACTAATCTGGAATTCCCATTTTCCTTGAAGCACCAATGACGAAAAGTTGGCGAGTAGGGGAACACGAATATAACAATAAAAACACACACTTATCAGGTTGCGCAAGTTATTCAACAGAAAACAGTGATGTTGTAAAATACTCCTAAAGCACGAGTAAACTATTCCACAAAGATTCTTTCCTAATAGTAAGATAGTGAAACATAAAGAGTACAAAAATATCTCCACTAAATGATCGTTCCCATAAAAAAACAAGAATTATTAAATGGACTCGATAGAAATGGAACATACAATAGGAATTGAAAAAATTAAAAAGTGCGGATGTTACAGTATGATTAACGTCTGAGCATTCATTCTTTGATCATGGTGTGCCATAAACCAATTTACCTAAGCAAAGTATATCAAGATGTTTAATAAAAATCTATGTACAAGAAACAATAGGGATTCAGGCTTACCTGCACCAACTCAGCACACAGGTCAGTGATGAAAAGGATAAAATTTTCAACAACTTTTGTCTAACAAGCAAAGTGCAGACAGCACTTGCAGACAGCCTTCTCATCAGGTCTCAGATCGCTTCTGAGGAGGACAGGGCGACCTGGGCCTCTTTCAACGGGTGAGCCATGTGCTCGGAACAATTGATGCAGTATGGTCTTTGGTCACTAAGTTTTCTTGGATAAGGAATGATCTCATCTTTCGTAATTAAGATTTCTCAAGATCACGTACCAGGATGTGGTCTCAATTTTATAGTCAGTTTAAGGTTATTCGCCCAATTCTTAGATAGATTGGCCAAGAAAACATATGGTCAGTCGGAAAAGGTAAACACCACGGAAAAAGTGGAAACATATAGATAAATAATTAGGCAGATGGTTTCTCCCGTCCGGCCTTCTTGGAGAGGGGTATGCTGTGCTCAACACACTTCTGTGGGAATGACACTTAGTCGGACCCAGCATCTTCAAGTGGCATTCTAACAGGGTCCGACACGTACATTTGGTTCTTAGCCGTGTAAGGTGGTTTAACTACATATTCGATCTTGTTCAAATCATCAATGTCGCGACTGGCTTTGTAGGCGTTTATGGTATTAGACGGGAGATTAGACCCGATGGCGACTTGAGATTCAATAAACCTATAAACGGCTAAATTTACGTGATCAAGTATGCCCGCCGTAGTTGGTTGTATTTGATGGCAGATTTGACGCCCTACTAAATTTTCCGGCGTTTTATCTCGAGTGCCGTATTTGTAAAGCGGGTTTATGCCGTAACGGGGTTCTATCGTCATAATCAACAGGCGTTTATTTTGACCGTTGTGATGGTTAAAAATGGGTGAGCCTCATTGACTCACGTGAGTGCCTTCTTTAATTACGGGTTTTGAAATGATTAATCGACTTCGATCAAAGGGGCCATAGGTGACGTTGGGATCGCAGTTGTCGGCATTGAGACGCTCGTGGTCGTCTGAAACGATGTATACGTGGGTTGACATGGTTATGATTTCCCCAGCTTTGTCATAGATTTTTCTCACTTTTATTCGGCTGCGTCTATTAACTTGGGTGGGATTTCTACTTTAATTAAATGTTCAATGTCAACGTCATATTCAATAATTAGTACAACTTCGTTTAAATCAGAGTCGGGTTTTGTCGCTGAATTGGGCGGTGGCTCGTTTTCTCGCGCGTGCCTCAACTTTTTATGCTTGCCGTTTACGAGCACCACGTGATCCATTCCTTCTAACTCGACACAATTCACACAGCCGGTGCAATATGTACAACCGAAACACTCTATACAATTGCTGCACTGGTAACAGTCCACGCAACTGTCCAAGGCATTTGAATTTTGACAGTCGTATGAATTAAAACAAGCCACGCAATTTATACATCTGCCGCAATCGTCGCAAGTGGAGCAATAGTTACATCTCGCGCAGTCGTTGCACGTGGCATTCTTAACAATCGGTGCGTTTGCATAAACGGTTGGAATTTAAAACAACGAAAGCAATCGTACAAATCTATCAAATCGATTTAATTTCTCGTGTCTTTGCGAAAATAACAATTAATGTTTGTTTTATGGTTTATCATATCCTTTTATATAGTTACTATTAATTTTTTTTTTCATTTTAAGTGGCGTATAAATCATCGGAAATAAATATTTCTTTTGGCTTGTACACTTGTTTGCCGGTCTTGGTCTTTCTCACTAAACAAACGCGGTGCCTTTGGTTTTGCACGTCGAACTTTGCCTGCGCGATTAAATCTCGTTGTGATTCGTAGCCTTTGGCAATTAACCACGCCGCTTGAACGGTGGCTAATTTAGCGTATTCAAAATTAGTGGCAAAAAGTAAAAATCATCAGATTTTAGAAAAATGTTGAGAAATTTATCTTATTTTTCCCGGCGCGCCTCCAGTATTTTTCCGGCGGTGAAAAGTCCCGGGGGAAAGTATGTTCGGGGCTCCGCGATTGCTGTTTGGGAAGTCAAGTCACAGGTTTTGGGGGAAGTTAAGGGCTGATCCAGGAAGTGGGTTAGGTCCCACGCTAATTTGGAAAGTGGGAAAGAGGGGCTGCTCTAGTAAATACCGGTATCTACTACTCCTCTGGCATAACCCTCATTTCAAGATTTGACGTCCCATGTAAATGCATTTGGCCAAAAGAGTGTGGTCTACACATGGCATATACATCGAGCTTACTTTTCAGCACGTCATGGACATTATTTTTATCTTAAATTGCGTCTTACTGTCTGTTTAGTTTGTTGTGATCAGAAAGCTACATGTAGAGAAATGGCTATTTCTCCTCTCCTTTCAACTCCTTGCCCCTTACCTGTATATTGAGGGGGTATGACCGTCAAATCAAAAACTTAAGTTGAGCTGGACTGGAAAAGGAAAATGAGGGACCCAAAGTAATTTTGGTTTTACCTGGCCCGCAACGCCAATTAAGTCATTGACATGTTGTCAGCAGTCGCGTCATAATGGTGTATAAGGCACTGTATTCATTTTCCCTTCCTGTTTGTACAGTATCTGCCATGAATAACTTTAACAGATGCACCAGTGTTTATCATGCTCTTGTGCAGAATGGCAGAGAAATAACTTTGGAGACGACCCTGTCAATCACTTCTTCGTGGTGGAAGCCACTAGCGATTGCCTGGGTGATACAGCAGAGCCAGAGATAGTGGGTTGCTCTACTAACTCCTTCACCCACTGCCCCAGGGACGGATGATTTTCTTGGGAGAGTTCTACATTCGAACTGCCCACAGAGGTACACCTAAAGCCAAAAAAAGTGATCCTGAAAGAGCCAGGCTTATTCCCATTATCTAGCAGCACCTTTTCCAGTTTTGCTGTCCAATGATAATTTGCTTGCTTTTTGCCATAAACATTGGTATTCAAATACAGGTAAAAACACACGAGTACAGCTGTGATGTTTTACTTCAATCTGACCTTTTTTAAGGTCATTCATGTCCATATAGCCTCGCACATGACCAGCCCATTTGCTGGTATCATATGCAAAGAGCTCTGGAGGGGGGGTGAGAAGTTTATATCTTTGGCCCATTACTCTTTTTCTGAATACCAAAGTTTGATTACTGTATATTCCCAAGTCAAACTGGAGACAGTCTGTGTTCATAGTCCAGGTACATTGGAAGATCGAGTTAAAGCAGGTCATGTTTCTGTGAACATAAATGGCATGTACATGTACATTTATACATACATGTGCTTTACTGTAGCAGTATTTAGTATTCCAAACACACTTCCAAGTGCAAGGGTGTACTCTGTGGTGGAATGTTAGGCCACATAAAAAAATAATTAGTGAGTATCCTTTAAAAAAAACATGTTGGGATGGGGGCATTTTTTTATTTTATTTTTTTTATTTAGTTCAGCAGACATCTTTGCTTGATTGGAAATTATTAAATAAAGAGCAATTTCCTCAATGATGAAATGAGTTTTATTTATCTTCTTTACGAAAGAGTTTTACACAAGCAAGTAATTCATCACAAAAGGAGATCAAGGTTGTACAGCCAAGTGAAAATAGGAAGGTTTTCTCAGAGAGGGTCAAGGTGCTGTAGTTCTGTGAAGTGGAATCGGTAGCTGGGAATGGCTGCGGCTATTGAGTATTGACCCAACATGCAGCAGAGGTCTCAGGCTGCATCCGAATTACAGGCTGTGGCTGCGACTGCACAAAGCTATTGAGGTTGCTGCCTTGCTTTCCGGTCTATTTCCCACAAGTTTCTGCACATGGCCGCAACCGCAGCCAATAATTCCAATGTGGTTTACACAAACACGCTGACGGTTGGGTGAATGTCAACCTCGTTCCCATGGGCTCGATCTTGCTGCACCATGGAGTCGAGGTTGGGTGAATTTGCACTCGTACATATAGATGAATGGGAGTAATTAGCGATTTCCGGATGTATCGTTTTCAAAGCACATACATTTAACAGAAGGTCACTCAATTTGAATGTGGGATCGTCCTAAAGGCCATTTTTTCTTTTTTTTTCAATGAATTAAAAAAAAAAATTGGGGGGGGAAGGATATATTTCTTAGGGGCAGGTGTATTTCTTAAGGGCGGGCGAAATCACCAACTGTATTATAATGTGGCTTTACCAAGTTACATGTACAGAGCCAGAAAAACTACAAACTGTTTTTGAATACTTCCGTCTTGTTCTAAACAGGGACAGGTCTTGGAAAGGCTCTGATGGAGAAAGTTGCTGAGGTGAGTGGAGACATGGTGAGGGGGGAGGTGGGGGGCTGTGCTAACTTCACATGCCTGGTATGGACTGGCTAGCAAAAGACTGTCCACACAATGCAGGAAGGAAAGACATTCTGTGGACTTACCCACAGAGAAGGGAAGATCATCCAATGTTCTGTGGACTTACCCTTGTCCACAGGACATTTTCCCTTCTTAAGAAGTATAGTGGCATTTTGGGGTAAAGGTCATCCGTACGGTAAAGGAAAGAAGAACAGAACAGTCAAGGAAACATTTTATTAAAATCCAGCTGAATATCATGTTCCCGGTTCAAGCAAAATGAGTGTGTTCACCAAGTTTTCTTAACTGCACAAAATGAAAGGGATGTCCACACTAGGCATTTAACTTAAATGGGGTAGTATGTTTTTTACATAATATGCATTTACCAAGATGAGAGTTGAATTTTCTGGAAAGGTGTAAAAATGTCTTCCTACTTGTGTAAATAGGCGTGAGAAATATTTTCCCACTTGTGTGAAAATGCATGAAAATGTTTACCCACTTGTGTAAAAAGTCATGGATTTGTTTTCCCACTTGTGTGAAAAGCCATAAAAATCCTTCAGGGAAAAGAAAAAATGTAGAGAATACAAATTCCCCATTACCAGGGTAACTTTCAGTTGCAGAATACTGAGGCCTGTACAGAGTACAGGGGTTGTTGACTGTTCCTGTGGTCGTAAGTGTACTTGACTTCTTTATCTGAGCAGTTTCACTCCATTTTACATCCAGCAGGCTGGGATTAAGGACCGCTGCAAGGGCATGAACTGGCTCCTGAGGGCTTCCAATGACAGCACCTGGCAGTTCTACCGTCGCTTCAACGCAATCGATATGACTACACAGCACGAGTGGAGATTCATGCGAGTAAAGGGGGACAGTGATGCACACAGTTCCTGAAGCAGGGTCAAATATTCATTTTCTTTAGGCCGGGTAAATGTCACATCTAAGTTACTTGGCTATCGGCCGGATTAGCTTGCACGCCAGCTGCTACCCAGCAGCCATCATACTTACATGCAGGCAGGCAGCAACAGCCAAGCAGTCAATAAGAGATCTACACATAGAAAGTTTCAGTATGTGGTTTTAGTTTTAGCATGAATTTGGCGTCTTATTCAAAAGTGTTGTTACTGTTTTTGTGGATAAATTTTCTAAGAAAGTGCCCAATGATAGTAGATGAAATACAAAACAAGGACCAAATCACGCCTATTGATTTTTTGGACCCCACTGGTCAGAGGTCAGTGTCACTGTTGAAACAAAGAAATGGTCTTTCCTGCCATAGCTCAAGGACTGAACATGTCAACTTCAATTTGGTACATGTTTTTATTTATTCTCAGTGACCTCTGAAAGCCTGCAGATGAAGTCAGACTTAAGCACCTGACACTGGGTGACGTGTTTACGCAAAGTTTTCCTTATTTGCTACACTGAGGACATGTACACTCGTATATGTGTACACTTGACTTACACGTACTAATGTGTCATGCTTGGTTGGGTCAAAGTGCAGAAGATGACCTTACACAGGGACGCTGCTACCACAAAAAAAAACCGAAATGCGTTTCTTGAGTAATTATAATTTGGGAGGGGCCTAGACCATACACAAAAGAGCATAGGGGATTATGACCTCCTTTGTCGGGGTAGGCTGATCTGCTAGGGAGAAAAAAAACCATGCTTGCAAAAGAGTTAAGGATACAAAAATCCCAACTACCAACTTTTTTATATCGAAAAAACTGGTACAAAATACACATGGTCATTGATGCTTCCAGTATACCCTGTGGACCTTTTGTATGTGGACCGGTTGAGGTGTGGACATGCGCCACAGGTTTACCAGGACAGTTGAAAAAAGGGGAGAGGAATGAAAATACTGATGCCTAAACTCAAGAGCTGTGGCTCCCAACATATTTTATGGATGTCATAAATAAATAGCAAAATTGAAGAATTTGCAGAAAAAAGACCTCCTCCCTGGCAGCTTTTTCACGTAGGAAAATCCAAGTCAAATATCAAGGTCATCAATCTTGGTGTTCTGGAGAAACATTTTGTGATCACAAATTTAAGCCATAGCTTGGTCTTGGCAGGGCATTAGTGTTTATAATGTACCGGTGTTAATGATTAAGGTCATACATATACATTCAAGAGGAATTGAATGTTGCAGAAACTGAAATATGTATCTCAGAAATGCCCGTCATAAGGACCAACAGTCTTTGAATTGCTTTGTAAATAAAACTTTGCAGGGGTGAGATTGGAAGAAAATTAAAAACCCATGAAGTAGTCACAGGAAGTGTTGAGGGCCCCACAGCAGTGCAGGGTCCCGTATACATTTGTGTTTGCCTAAAGGCAACCCTCTACATACTTTTGTTTTATATGAACCTTTATATTTGAAAAGACCAAGATGGTAAAATTGAGATATTTCAGGTTTTAAAAACAGATAGTTTCAAAATCCTGAAGTCAGGAAAATCCTGATGAAAAAATCCTGAAATCAAGAAAAACTCAGACAAATCTGATCCCTGACCTTGAAAGGAAAGGGCCACATTTTTTACTTTGATGACAGGGTGATACATGAAGTTGTCCACAGTTTTTCACACATTCTCAGAGATTAGTGATAATGTATTAACATTCCGGTCATGATGCATGAGTGAGCGGCTGACATGCCCCTGATGGGCTCCTGTGTTTGATGGGGTTTTCTACATTTCTTGGGTCTTATTTAGCAATAATTGTACCACAGTTAAGTCTGTTTGTTAAACACATATTCTAGGCGTCTTCCAGACAGTTAGTTCTGCTTTTTATCAAGATGTTGCCAGTTTCTGGGCATACTTCCTGACGATGAGACAGTGGCCATTATATGGTTTGTTCATCAACAATATGCCTTTCAGTATGACAGAGTATTCAGCTATTCGATCGAACTGAAGGTCAAATCTTCTAATAGTGATTTATTTGAATTGACTCAGCCGTACATTATTGTGGATCACAAATTGATATGTTAGACAAATTTTAGACAGTTTCCATCATATAAAATACATACAAACTGATCTTACGTGCAGTCTGTTTGTTTTCTTTCTTGCCTTTATTGCAATCTCCACTCTAGTCACACAAAAAAATGGATTTTGGCCAATTTTGCATGAGCTGCATTTTTAATCAACAGAACAGCAACACCAATTTTTCCCCCACCATCACTGCATGGTACTTGTATGGTTAGGAAATAAACATAGATTTTACTTCTTTGTTTTCAAAATTTGATTTAAAGTTGTTGACCACCAACCATGCAAAGGACACAACCAAACTATGGAAAAATTCTTTTCTTTTGGAATGTCTTATTAGGCCTTGCAAGCAGTTCAGTGTACATATCTAGGTGCTTGCTGGCTATGTCATACAAATTTTCACGCTTAAAAAAGTCCAATGGAATGTTTATCAAATATCACAGAAGTTTCTGTCAAGTTGATTACAAATCTTTCAAAGTACTGCCCTGACGTTTCAAAAATATGCACTACATTTACACAGGAACCACGCATGCTCCATTGCCTTTTAACAAATTGTGCAGCAGGACAGTTTGTCACGGAAAACTGCCATAACAAAAGCCACTTTACTTCTTGTGGAATCCGAGATTTTTCTGTACAATTTTGTACACACTGAATTGATTTTCAGTAAACAGAAATTTCAGGAAGTTCAAAACTACTCTGTACTTGACCATGCACTCATTATTGGTAATTCATCAGAAAAGTTAAACAGCGTATTGTAAATAACAGAAAATGGAGTTAAAATTTAAAAAAAGATTTACTCAGAACTTCATTTGTTCTTGCCAGTTCCTTTGCAGTGTGTTCTTGAAAGCCTTAAAAGAAAAGGCGCAATAATTCCCCCCCATTAAAAACATTTGGTGCATTCTTAAATTTTATTCAATAAAGCCAATGTTAAGATCTATTTAAGTGTACGGTTAATTATACAGTATATACATCTTTGAACGGACCCAGGGACATGGGGCTTGGGCAATATATTCCTTGTCGTGGCATGCTCTGCCTAGCATTTCTTGCTTCAACTGTTTACAGCTTTTGAAGACCACTTTCACAAGCAGGTGCAGGACCATTGTTACCGTATGTATACTTTGTCTCCTTTGAAACGGGGGGGGCAATGGTGCCCTTGTTGGTCGCAACCACTTTAAATTCAACAGTTAAAATCAATCCTTTAAACTGTTATTCAATCCTTTCCTAATCTACCAGGGTTTATTTTTCATAGATAGCTCCAGTGTTGTTGAGCCCATCACAAGTCCATGTCAAGCTTGTCTTAAACCAATTTACAAACTATTCAAATAAGCTATGACAAAAGTGTTTCTCATTTTTCACCCAGTTACTTATGACAGTTCCTGTGCACCGACTTGTAACTGGACTTACGTGGGGACTTTCAGAATTGTAATATGTCACAAATTTTTGTGACTCGAGTCATTAGGCAAAAAAGTTGATTTGTGTCAAGTTTTAGCTTTGGTTAATTTGAGTCACAAATATTTGAAATCAATATAATGAATAAAAACGAGAGAAAGTCATTTTCAGACATTTTAAAATTTATTTCTGCATTAATACACATAAATGTGGTCATACCACATCTTACTCTTGATAATATCATATGACATGAACATTATTACCAGCACTGTAAGTCACTGCTGCAAATATTTTTCTTGCAAAGAAGATCGCTATTATTTTTGTGACCCAAGTTAACTTCACTCAAGTTGGGTCTTCTGATGAGGGACTCAAATCAGGTCAAGTCACATGCTGGAAGTGACTCAAGTCATTTACCTGTCAGGTTTGACTTGATGAGTCTCCAAAATTTGGACTTGAGTAAAACTTAGATGAGCTATTGAGTCAAACTCAGACAAGCTATTGACTCAAGTCATTACAATTCTGGGGACTTACGATGGGCTCGACTGCAATACCAGATAACTCATGTAGTACATTTATTGCGCAGACAAACAAATAAAATACTTGAAGAAAAGAATAGAAATAATAAAAATACTAAAAAACAAAAAATGGCTTCCCTCATACATGTTGAAAGAAAAGACAGTTTACAGATTTCTTTTATATGCACTTTTACACAAGTGAGTTAAATAAAATAAAATACTGTGTATATGTATACATGTATTTCACTGGTTGCTTTTTTCAAATTTTTTTTAATCATTTACAGTGTTTTGACAAGGCACGTAAATAAAACAAGTTCAACAAAACATTACATTAACAGGCCAGGGAAATTTTTTCCAAATTACTGGAACAAATCAACTTATCAATATCAACTATTCCAAGTGACTGTTTCAATCTGATAGAATTTCTCAATAAAAGAAAAAATGTCCTCAAAATTCTACATTCAATCTAAAATAACACTTAGTATATTTACAGAATAAATCACAAATTAACCTGAGAGGTACGGAATATACGTAAGTCTTCATTGAAGACGAACATGACAAAGTTTGTTTTCTGTCATATGTTAATTAAAAGTCTGAACTTGTGTGGATTCTTTACAATTTTCAAGTGCAGACCTGGAAAATTGACAAAATGCTTCATGTCTCTTGTCCTCACTGTTGGGGGTTGGGGTGAAAATGAGTCGTAACCAAAGAAGCAAAAGTGGAACACTGAATTATAAATCTAACATTTCCACCCAATTGGAGAACATTTTTAAGTTACACAAAGGCACATCACTCTGCCAATAATAAAAAAAAAATAATGACGATGCTGATCTTTACAGTGACTCCGACTTGGTCCTGTACGCAACAACTCTTGTCCCAAAAATAGCTCAGAATATGAATACACTAATTAACAATATCCGGTGTACAAAAAATGTACAAAAAATACACTTTTTAGAAAATTTCAATCACTGATTCTGTGTTGGCAAAAATGTTTCTATAGTTGAAAAAACAGCGTTGATGTGAAGCAACACCAGGCAAATTGGTGCTATAATCTTGAGGGTCAAAGCAGATATATACATGTAGTCATTTCATAAAGACATGTAGTACTTTAATGTATATCAGTTACTAATCTTACTCATGTATCTTTACAAAGATTGACAACCTATAGGCATTTACGTCATTTCACAAGTTCAAATAAAAAGGGAATCATTAAGAAGAGTTAAAAACCAAAATTCAAATAAAATGACAAATTTGGTAACACTACAAACATTTCACAGTATGGGTACCTGTACCTGTGTGTCACGTTTTGTGAGCTGTCCCAGCTTTTTGTAAAGGCAGCAGATATTTATCTGTTGCCGGTCAATTTAACTGCACGATATTTAGCCAGGCACATGTGCAGTAAGCAGTTTTTTACTCAAAAATTGTTACTGTAGAAAATACTAATCTGGTTCTGCACCAACACAGTTGTTTACTGCGTATTCACAAGGTGGAATCAGACCACTTTACAATATCTGACTTTTTTCCCATTAAGAAATCCTCCAGAGCCATGAATCAGAAAAAGGAAAATGCAAGACTCTGTAATTCAATATTGAAGTCAATTTAAATAACAAGAATACTCTTAATTTTGGGGGAGAAAAAAAGACGCAAATAGCTGGAAATTGAACCCAGCTGGTAGCACTTCATGTTTGCTCTCAAGATAGGTGCACTATCAACTAGACTATGGCCTCCACCTTGGGGATAGCGCCAATTTACTAATCTTTATAGTCTTTCTTGTGTATTCGCATCAAAGAAGGCGCTATCTACATGTAGATGGCTATTAAAATATTGTTCACTTAAGCTTAGCAGGCAACAGCTGAATATGCACTGTCTTTTGCATAATCTCAAGGTCAACTTCAACATCAGTGCAAGTTAACTTTGAGTAAACTCATCAAAGACTGAAGAGCAATCCAGCCAACTTGATTCCTTTGTCTAGCTTTGTCTTTTTTAACCTAGGTAATCAAGCCTGGAAAGTAAACCAAATCCAGGGAAAGACTTCTGTGTCTGGCCAGCATATTCTCAAGTTTTGTATACCCTGATAAGTTTTAAAATATACAACCTACAAAACACATTTTTCTCAATTTCAGTTGTCCCCAATCTGCATGAACTTCTCTTCAATGACAACATGGCGGGGGGGGGGTGATGCTTGGGTGGTTGGTATGTGGTGGCCAGATACAAATGTATTGCCAAATCTGGAACTAAACACGGTCGACACCTGCATTATAAGGCAAAACCAGGTTTGCTTCGACTGTGGCCAATGTGGGAATAAACAATACGTGACCTGGTGTAGTGACTAACATCCTGGCATTAACCAGACATGACTGGAACTTTGGACAGAAAGTTAGAAAGGTGGGGAGAGAATGTCCAACAAAAAAGTCAAATTCTTTGGTGTACTGGTGGTCTAAAACCCAAACATATAGTGATAGTCTAAACCAAATGGAATGATCTGACCAGAACATGGTTCACAAATACCTGCGCTGTTCAGCGACACATTATACATTTACTGTTACATGTACAGAGTACTTTTTAGCATGTTTGGTATCTTTGGTATTCAGTTTGTGCTTAAAGAGTTTTCTCCATTAAAAAAATGCCCTGGTTTATGTACTGAATGTAACAGAATCTCTTTTTTCAACCTCACCATGTTCCGCAGATGAGGAGAGACTCCTCTCTTTTCTGTATTATGTTGGAAGTTTCAGGTGACTTACTAAAATTGAGCATTTTAAAATGCCTTACAGCAAATAAAGCCAACTCAATGTTTCTTGTTCCATGATTTGTGTTTAGGTATTTTTTATGATAAACCAGTCTTTTTTCCCCCAGAAATTTGCATTATACTTAACTTCAACTTCTTACAACTTTCAGTTTTTTTTTTTAATCTTCCTCTCTTATTTGTAGCAAATCTTCCTGACTCAAGCAAAGAAGAGCCAAGTCCAACCTAACTGCTGCCCTCAGACATCAGTCACAGTCCACCTCATTGCCTTGAGGGAGGGCGGGATGGAAGGGCATGACCTGGGATGTGGGAGGCAAAACTCTGGAATGTGTGTGCCCCCTGCACATCTGCAATTAAGCGTGTCATCAGTGGAATGAGTTGCAGTTGTGGTCCCCAATCGGACTTTGCCTGAAGAAAAAAAAAAGACAATTTGAAACGGAACCCAAATCAATAGGGTTAGAGTCATTCCACTATTATTTCTCTACGCACAATAGATCTTTTTCCTGTGATGTAACGATCATGCTGGACCTACATGTATGATGTGTTGGGATGGTAATGAGTGCATAGTGTTGGGATGGTAATCTACCTGTTCAAGATAAACTAGTCAAGCATGCAGTGTTCGCACGTGCGCTTGCACGTGGTTGAAGCTGCATGTAGGAATCAGTGTCATATTATAGTCGAGTACTTTTTTCCGAGTACCAAGTACTGCCGAGTACTTTGAATTCCAAGTACTTTGACTTCCAAGTACAAAGACGGGGCGAGTACTTTGCCAGCCGAGTAAAAGTACAAATACTTACACGTACAAGTATTTCTTACACGTACAAGTATTTCTAATTCAAAAGTAGTTTTATCTTAATTTAGAGATTCTTAAGACCTGCCACTGTGTAAAAGAAACACCGAATGCAGATGGCATGGCTACAAGAACAAGTGATCTGGCTAGCAATGTCAAGGTCACTACACGTGCGTTGCAGCAGTTGACACAACGTGCACGGCGCAGCGAAGTCTATTTTCCAGACTCAATTTTTCACATGCCTGTGATTTTCTGTATGCTGGGTTCGTTGTTAAAATTTTCGGGTCCAGGAACCAGACTACCAATGCCAAAGTAAATCGCGGAAACATTCTGGAGTACCACAATATAATTTGCATATGTGATTGGTTAAATACGCTCACAGACGGCAAATGGGTCGTATGCCTTAATGGTCCCACGTTTGGCCTTCTTGTTGTAAGAACCGAATCCAATATCGGGTCATTGGAGTCGATATTTTTGTACCTTATTTTAACGGCTGTGCGTGGTACGTTAACTTAAAGGATTTTTTCATCGAGTACAGTTAATTGAGTACGAGTACTTTGATGCTCGAGTACAATTTTTGGATGTCGAGTTCTGAGTATTTTGTAGCCCGAGTACAAGAACTGTCGTTCGAGTACGAGTACTTGAATGTCCGAGTACAAGTATGAGTACTCTGAAAATGGTACTCGAGTAGTACTCGAGTACGAGTACCGAGTACGAGTACTACAACACTGGTACGAATCACCATGACCAAGGCTGTCCACGTGTGGTATTGTTCACATTTAGCGCAATCCAGTCAAAAAGGTCTACATGTATATACATGTATTTCTTGTGTGATAACAAAACTTGTAATTTCTTGTGATTGAATAGTTTAAAAGTAATGGTAATTATTTTTCCGATTTTAAGCGCCGTTGTGATTGGATTTTTAACCAAATTGTACATTATGGGTAGTTTGTCTTTTGTGAAGATCATGTGAATTTCCCAGTTCCCAATCTTTCATTTTGAAAGGTAATAGGACAATCATTTTTACAGGTAGTTCTGGCTGAAACTAGCTCAGTGGAAATATCCTAAACCTTTTGCCCAGAGCATGAACAAAACATGCACTGACTAGAAAAAAGGTGCATTCTAAAAATTTTGAAGTGTGGGAAGTTTCCATAAACACAGGAGACGTAAGAGCTCATATGTGAATAACTTATTGCAGATTTCAAAGGCTAATGGAATCTGAACACAACTGTTTATGCCAGTACATTTTGTTTGAACAGATTTTCTCTCTAATCTTGTCCGCAAAGAGTTCTTGCACCATCCAACCCCCCCCCCAAAAAGAAGGCACAGCTTGTTTTACCGCATCTGTTTGGGGTTACTCACTTGCTCCCGTACTCCGTCAGTCGCTGCCTGATCTTCTTATACTGGTTGTGCCTCTGCTCCAAGAACACGATCTCAGACAGCATGGCATTAACCGTGGCAAAACAGGTCTTGGGGTCCTCGATGCTGACCGGGGTATGGGTGGAGGAAGGCAGGCCCTGGTACACGGCTTGCGTGGCACAGGCGTCTATAGGAGTGAGTGGAACAAAAATCAAGACTTGACCAATGACAGATGTGCTTTTCAGATCATTCATCCACGGGTCTTGTCCGCCTAAAACACTTTGAGAAAACTGCATTGGAAGTATCTATGCACGATTTATGCTATGGAGTATCATTTGTCCATGTGATCGAAACGCAAGCCGTTTGATACATTTGTTTTACTATATATTTCTTCAATTATTAATCCAAACAAAGTTAAACATCACACTTTTATATCAACTTTTCCATATGAATCAACAGTTGATAGAAAAAAATCCCTTCTCAATTCAGAGTTTTCAAATGGGATTGGCAGGGGGCGCACATACACACACAAGTGTGTATTTGAATGCAACTGGGGACCCCCTATTGTTCCTCTTTTGTTTGTACTTCAACTTTTTTGGAAGACCACCCATATGTTTTGTACACAGTTGTCAATCGGGGACCCTCTGTCAATGAGGGACCTTCTGTCAATCGGGGACCTTATTGTCCGCTATTGTTCAGGGTCCCCAATTGAATGCAGAAACAAACTCACACACACATAGGCCTAAGCCTGTAAGGTAAGCCCTTCAGCCGTGGGCACACCATGGGCCAATTTCATAGAGCTGTTTAAGCACAAAATTTGCTTATGCTGAAAAAACCTTTGCTTAATAAACAAAAGTTACCTGCTCAAACTCTATCTGATTGTCATTGCTAACCAAAAAACAGCTAAATATAATCACAAAACAATATACATCACATTGAGTTTTGGCTGGTTACCTGATTTATCAAGCAAGGTTTTTTTGCGCTGAAGCATATTTTGTGCTTAAACAGCTCTATAAAATTGGCCCCCGACAGTGGCAACATGGCAACAACATGTCAGCCCAGGCTCTCTCATTTTCACAGATGAGGGCACTACAAGTGCGCGCAAAGCCAGTACCTTGTAGAGAATAAAGTTTTTGCAGGTTGGCCATGAAGAGACCATGGATTCTCTCCAGCTCTCGGTCTGGGTCAATGTCTAGGCAGATGCTCAACGGCAGACCACTGCAAAAACAAAACAAAAACATCAGAGATGCTTGACTCGACCTCCAGGACACCGATGTGATCAATGACGAATGGATCCGACAATCCACCAATTGTTTTTCTGTGCAATGGCATGATTTTTCTGGAAGCTTCATTTTTATGTGACAAGTGAGTTTGGCATCCAAACGAATATAAGCATTATTAAAGAGGTACAAAAAAAGGATGATCATTAGTTCCTATGAGCAAGATTTGTTTGAAGGCCTGTACAGCTCTGTGTGTCTTTGTTCATGGGGACTGATCGCCAGTTTCACCCATACATGTGCTAGTCTATACTAAAATGTGCGTTGCATTCAAACTCTTCAAAGAACCAAAAATCAATTTACTTATGACACAGTTCACGGTACCTTCATTGAAGATTGTTAAACAGAATAACATGCTCAAGTCTATTATATGATAGGCCTACAAATATAGGTCAAATTTGTGCAAGCTGAAATGGTTTTTGAGATAAAGATTCATGGACAGTTTCGATGAAAAGTAACAATGAAACAACACATAATTCAACCTATCACTCAACAAAATGATCCCATTCCTTAAATGTCCCATACGTTCAACCGGTTTCAATATATGTTATTCCCTCACTAATTTCAAAAAAGTACAAAACTGATTGAAAAAAAATGATAACATGATAGAAACTTGAAAGTAGGTTGAAACCGGAAGTACATGACGTCCACAAATGTCCAAAGAAATAAAGGTGTGATGAATCAAACAGAAACGGGCATTCGCATGATTATATTTGCTGATAGTATTTCAATTAATTTGAAAAAAGCTTACCCTGTGACCTGCGTGCATCCCTGCGCACTTTCTGAGGTAGCCTTGCAACTGTTGAAACAAAAGAGAGTGTGGTGTGGACGAGTGGTTCATGACTGATACGATTATTCCATGCAGCTTCAATGCCTTTGTATGATTGATCATGATGTGGCAATCCTGCAGCAGAGACGCCAACTTTTCCAAATGACAAAGTGTAACCCAGTTGCATGATATCGAATTACCCATCATACATTTCAACAGGAACACGTTCAAACCCTTGGAGTTGAAGTTAATCGTAATAACAGCTGCCTGTGAAAAGTTAATGTATTTTTCATTTTGATATGCTTCTCGATGTTGTAAGAATAGATCTAGCACATGCAATATACATGTCACAGTTACAAATGTTGCAAAACACATTAAGTTTCTCTGCGACAAGACCTTGCAACGTAAAGGCCCAATTTTTTGGAGCATTTGTTCCTGAATTTCTGCTGACTGGTTGCCACTGTGCAAAACAACGTCCAGTTGCTCACCGAAAATGCCGGAATCAAATCCTGGATAGTCATCCACCCCTGTCAACTTGGCACATTCATAGCATTCAGGATGACAATGGACATGTATGTGTGTCACGAAAACGAAATACATGTACATTGCACGAACATGCACAATCACACTGCAAATGAAGTGCAATCGTGCTTATTCGTTCCCCAGTTCATTATAGCATGAATAAGGGTCCGTGGGTGGTTTGACCTCACTGGTTTCTAATGCCATTAAAGCATCTTGTATGCACAAACTGTGTCATGTCCCACATGCAGTTCATTTTCATGTACACTGAGAACTGGATCCAAACTGGTAGCTTTTGCCTGAACACTTCTCAATCATTTTATGCATCCCATGTGACTGCAAGTCTCCACTTTTTATTTTACAGTGCATTAACCATAGCCCCTAGGCATTTGTCCAGAAATCTTGCTGAAGTCACAAATGGACACAATATAGTGCACTGCGCTAGCCAAAAGCAAATTATAGGGTCAGGGGAAAATTTTGTGCTCAATATTCAGGCCAAAATTGTGCCCCTCCCCCTCCCAAGATTTCACAGGAGGGAATCGAAGTTGGAGATGCTCAGTCTCACCATATCCAATGGCCGTTCTTGAAGGCAGCTGGGTGATAGTAATGCAACCGGTTCTTGTTTGTCTTGCAGATGTTGAACAGAATATCCAACCTGGGCAGTAAACCACAAGACAACAAAGTGAAAAAGTAATGAATCAAAACTGTTGTCCCAGCAGAGTGATGGCACATATTTCCATCAGCAATGGAGAAGAACAAAATAGTTTCGAGCATGAGACACTAGTTGACCTGTGGCAATACAGTCATTTTACAATAGTGTGCTTCTACGAGTTTACAACGTGTCGACCAATCACTGTTGACTCAATGTGCATTTGAAAATGCAGATGCACTATTGTGAATTGCCCATATTGACAGGGCTTGCTCTTCATTAATGTAGCAAAACAGCTTCCCTCAAGGAATTAAGAGAATTCTCAAGAACAAAGCACCACCTTTATTGTGTAGACAAGTCTGGCAATCAGAATTAGATGCTGTAACTGAGAGATAACTGTGTAGATCAACGCTGTCTATGGTTGATCGGTCCAAAACAGAGATGTGTATATGTAGGGATAACGTCTATGGTTCATTCTCTATCAATAACATATATTTTTATTACAAAGGACTCGTCAAAGTACTTTTGGAGTACTTTTCTCTGAAATAATTCCCCTTTTGTGTATTTTAGCTTTGTAAAGCTACCATTATCAGCTACCATGTGCATGTTTATAGCCAGTTCAATATTTGACAGTGAACTTGGTAATAAAAAAGTAGGCTACTCGACTACAACACGGCAGTATATTAGAGTGAGATGTTTACCATTCTTTCTCCTCCACACAGTTGTTGGCCTGTATGTACAGCGCCCGCTCCGGTTGAACAACCTGGAACATCTGCACAGAAACAGATTCTCTGTTTGAGCAATGAAATTTTAAAAAAGGTGGAAATGGCTACAAAAACTGTGAAACATTTTCAACAGTTCTGCCAGTGCAGTGCAATTAACCACTTCCTGCTGGGGACTCCGGGATCGGAGACGTATGGTTTATATGGGTGGCCAGGGTCTCTGAACTCGACAAAGGAAACAGGGCCCTGTAACAAAAGACCGTACTCCAAACAAAAGACCATGCTGCTGGGCATTACCGGCATTTTTCACTCTCAAAAAAGGTGATAATGCAGCCTTGTTTTGAAACCATATACCAGCGTTTGGGGCATTGAGAGTGAGCGGATTACCACCGGGGACAAAAGCGCTTCACCACCGCAGCGATGAGCCACACAGCACCGCTGCACGCTAATCTGGCCCCTATTGAAAAGAGGTCAGCAGTGCACTGAGCCAGGTTTGTGAACGAAAGAAAGTTATATAACACCGCACAATCTGGGCTCTGNTGTGCGGCTATAAACGACCGTTAAATGAAATGATGAATTTTTGAAAACGGAAAAAATGATAGTCATGCTGGCCCAGCATCATCAACATTGAAAAATGCCCCGGCACGAAGTGGTTAAAGGGGGGATCAAACTACACTCTGCCTCAGGTGGTCCAACTCCACTTGACATGCTTGAACCCTATGGATACTGTTGGAAATTTATTTGGACTTTTAACTTTACTTTGTTTTTTAAACTCTTGGGTATGGGTTTGTGCAAAGTCAAATTAAAAAGTTGGTTGAGAGCTTCAACTCTCTGATGCATCCGTCTGATGCAAGGACACATGTACCTCCAGTTTCTCTGCACATTCAACTGAAACTTTGTTGACCACAGTTATAATTAAATGCCACCCTTTTGCGTATGGATACCATAGATTTGTGCAGATTCAGCAAAACATCTGTGGACCACAACTCATGTGGCAACCTCTTATACATAGGTACTTCAAGTTTGTGCACATTCAACTGAAAATTGGTTGACCGCACACCACATCATTAATGTTCAATCACGGCTCTCACAAGGAGGCATCACTGATGGTTTCCACACACAAACCCAATAGTTTGGGTAAACTGGCATGCACTGTCAGTATCAAGCACTTGCCCAATGCCTGATGCCCAGAGCCAAAAACATGGCACCCTTAATGGTAAGTGCACAGTGTGGAAAACCAGTGTGAAAAATGTCAGAAATGCTAACTTACAAATTTCATCTGGAATGATTCCTCCTCCAGTTTCTCCACGGCAAGAATGTTGTTGACTGATATGCTACACAGCGGCTTGCTGTCTGCAAAAAAAAAGGGACAGAGGTGGGGAGGTTTGATAAAAGGAACTGTTGGTAAACATAACAGTAAACGCAAAAGCAAATGAATGTTGCAGTTCAAACAGCACTAAAGAATTAGCCACGCATTAAAGAAAGTAATTACTTGAAACCTCTTTTCATAAAAGACAAAATGACAACAATTAAAAACTTAGAAAATACAGCATGCACATACAATACTAAGCTTGGTCAAGGCGTTCATCTTTCATTGCAGCACAGCACGCACCAGCCGTTCGCTGACCTAGTACACGTACGTGTACATACCTGCATATATTGCAAAAATCACTGCGAAGAGAGACCGACCTAAGAAATATGCAAATCAGCTGAACCAGGACAAATGCCTTGGTGCAACCATTCACAGAAGCTGTATTGGGCAATGTCATCATTATACAAAAGACAACATTTTAAATGACAATTTTAAATAAGCTTTTGGATAGGTTCACTGCTACATAGTAACTGCATAATTCAAGTAGGTCGTAAGGTAAAAGGCTAACTGAATGCACATGTCTATACAATTTATACAAGAAAAGTCAACAATATTTTTTTTGTCAGCTGATCAGACTAATCGGAGATTGAGTTCGTCTTTGCTTTGCTTTACTGATTGTGATTGATTTTTTTCAAATGACTAGCGCTATGCGCATTGTATCTGGTCTGAGGAGCTGCGAGCAGAAAGGTGTAGCCTGACAATAACAGATTTCCCATAGCATGTTGGCAAATTCACGAAAACGTCGTGACCCTGCAGAAAGTATTCTAAGCCTGCCGCTGCTCGGCACGAAAATCACCCAACATCAATTTATCGGCAGCAGAATTCAAGCAACAAGATAACTTGTTGTGCTGCAGTCATCTCGGAAGGTCCGCCACACATGATTATCATGCATGCCAGTTCACACTGATGTATTACGCATGTGTAGGCCTATTCTTAGCTGAGATTGGTCACTGCAGTGCACTCATCGCACTCCTGCATCTATTCATATCCACATACGAGGTCTTCAAAAGTAACAAAGTAAAGTAAAGGAAAACTTAAGCTTCCGCAAATGGTTGCACCAAGGCTTTCATACTGGTTCAGCTGATTGGCATATTTCTTAGGCCGCATGAGGTCGCTCTTCCCCTTGATTTTGCAGTGTACATGTATGCAGGTATAATGTATGTACACAGGAACGTACTAGGTCAGTGAGCGGCTGGTGCGCACTGCGCTGCCACGAATAACAAACGCCTTGACCCAGACTAATACGATATTCACAAAAAAATTCAAGCCCATTGTATTGATAAATATAAATAAAAAAGGTGGTGTAGAATCGATGATAGCCATGAGTCCTGAAAATAAAAAAGGAAATAATGAAAAACCAATATTACCACTTATGTCAAATACCCCCCTACCTTAGTATGTAACCTATCGGCATTCTTTGATTCGCAAATATCTGTGCAAGGCAAGTGTATAATTTTGCACTGGATCTATGCATAAAAGCCAGACCTATATTAACTCTGTGCAAGACCCTGGGCACTTCCACACAGGACAACATCACATGCATGCAGTATACACAACAAATTTTCATCTGTATGTGTACAAATACTGAGCTTCTCTGTGTATATGGTATCTATTACATCTCAATTTCCTTGTCCCACTCCTGTAGAAGAGACTTTGCATAGAGTCCAGTGAGGTAGGATAGTGCTGTTTGTGTAACTGTCTCTCAAGGCAAGTACCTTTTGTCTTGCTGTACGTCAGCTCATGATTGGTCAGTTGAAACCATCTCCTCTTGAAGTTCTTCAGACCAAATCCCAAGAACTTCTTTCTGCCCTGAGCTCGCTTGATCATAACCCTACAATGGGTAGAGATTGCAAAAGAGGTAAAGTTGGCATCCTGATTTTCACAGCAATTTCTGTAAAGGCTGGTAATCGAAAGAGACTATCAGATGCCCACATACATGTACAACTCAAAAAGGATCACAGCAAATTCTTGTGTAACTTGGTAGGCCTACTCCACATTAATACTTGGTATTCAAAAACAATTACCTGGCACTCAAAAAATTAAAGCGTTAAAGCATGTACTTGGAACTTAAAAGGGTATTTTGTATGAGGCCATGTTCTTGGTACTCATATTTATTTCAGATACATATTAAAGACAGTGTATATATATGTACAGGATACACAAAATCAGTACTTCAAACTCCTTGCTGAGTACGTCAACCAGCACTGCATGGGTATGGGACTGCCAAGAAGGCCTGTGGAAACTCATATGGCCAGGACAGTACAAGTATTTATTGGAGGTACTTCGGTTAGGATTAGAGTGAGGATGCCTCCCACTAGGCGACTCACCCTTCTTTGAGTGTGATGGGTGCCTCGATGGCCTTGACCTGGGCCTGACTGGAGGACGAGATGATCTCTAGAAACTGGAAGGGGGGAGAGGCCAAATGATATACAGGTGGCGTGGCCAAAAGGAGCACAGTTTTAGCAACTGAAATGAAGGGTCATGGTCATTATGTTGGCAATTTTTCTCTTAAACGGTCTGGACCATGCCAAGATTCCACACTGTGCGGCATTCGTGTGGCTCTTTTCTTGAACCTGGGATATCCAGCAAGAGTAAATTGACAATGGTTTGTCTCTACAGATCTGTTTCTGAATTGGACAAAAATAAAAGTTTCACAGCAGACTTGGAAGGGTATCACTTAAAGACTGATTTATACAATGTATGAGGAAGGGCAAAATGATTACCAACATTATCATTACAAACATGATCTAGACTTCACTACAAAAATAAACATGTGCTTGGCTGGTCTTAAACACATGTTTAAGACCGGACCGAGCACATATTTATTACTTTTTACGTACTTTTAAGTAAAAGATATGGTAGATTTCCTATGATTCTAATTTAGAATTTAACTTTCACTTTCCCGAACAGCCCCGTCCATTTTATGGTATATTTTTTGTGCAAATTGTCCAGAGGAATTTATGGACTTGGCGCGTGCATGGCATTTTCTGTGTGCTGCGTCACACACAGACTCTTGGGCAATAGGGAGAGGTTAAACTTGTATCTAGGTGCCAGAACATTTTTACGTAGTGGGCATTAATAATCATAATCGAATCTCAGTGGGCATTATCAAATGTTAATACACGGTCATCTTGTGCATTGTTGAATAGGGAAACTGTCTGAGGTACTTATGAATAATGGTTAATATATGATTTTATTTGTAAAAGCTGCAACTCATGTACAAGAAGTGGAAAGTAAGAAATACTTATTCTGTGCATTTATTCTAAGCCTTTTATTTGTCTGTGGAGGAAGCACTCATTTACAGAAGTAAATCTCGAAAGTAACTTAAAATGAGCATTGAGCCCTACCCTCTAAACTGTTAAACTAAACAGACAGCATATCTCCAAGCTTTACCAGCACCCTCAACCTCATGTGAAATACTTATAACGCATAGATTCTATACCCAGATTAATTTGTACCTTTTTGATTCCGTCCATGTGGGCCTCATTCAGAATGTGAACATACAGTGGACTCATGTACTCCTCCTTCCAGTTCACATTACTCTGTGGAGCACAGACACATGTCAACTCACAATCAACTCCTCACCTCTGAAGGGTTGTAATTATTTTGAAATGTTCCTTTTTCAGAAATTATACCAAATTGTACTTGCCTAACCGTCAGTCTCATTCCAGATGTTCTTTGCTTGTGTCACAGATGCATATAAACTTTTGAATTCTTCATTGACATTGGGGTGTTTTAGTCCCTAGGCATAGTACTTCTCAGGCCAAACTTTGATGAATGCATGGGTCTTCCTCTTCATTATGGGGCTCCAAAAACTTTGCTCATTTCTTCCCTCCATGCGCATAGCATTATGTCTTGAGCAAACATCAGCCAAGAGCTGCCATACTCAAAAGCTATACATGTACATGTACTTTATAGCACTTTTGCTACAACTTTGTTCTCGTTGGATGAACAATTTGCCTTCATTTGGGACTTAGCACTATATGACACCGCATGGCCTAAAGGAAAGTGACAAATATTCGAGAATACTACCTAAACTCAAACTCGGTCTCAGAAACAGCATTCAATAAATTCGAAAACAACCAATTAAGTCATTCACCAATCCAATGTATACATGAGACTACTTACCAGTTTGTCTGGGTTGACATGGTTACCTATTGTCTGAATTGCTTTGGAAACCATCTTGAGTGTTCTTGATGTTTGTTCATCCTGAGAAGCAAGAAAGAAAGTTAGGGAGCACGACGATGTAATCTCTGCCTCCAGGCCTGCTGAGGCATGAACCAAGGTGGCTGACTGAAAAGTCTACACCTTCGGACATTTCTTAATCCCAAATTATGACAACAGAGGACCGGACCCCAAGCTCCTCCTACTTATTTGCCACACCCTGACCAAGATAAGCTCTCTTTTGCACCCTTAGGTCTGGGCATTCCAGCCCTAACAAAAAATCAGACAGCTTGCTGGTTGTCTTCGATGATTGTTTAATAATACTTTATGCTACTATGGGGCCCTCAAAACCTCTGCTTCTGGCAATTTAAAAAAGTCACTGTCACATAACCGACAGATTAGCAACACTTGTCACCGGTGGCAAAATTCACCTCTGTTTCCCACCTACCGGATTATCTTTTCTGAGGTGGAAGAGCGTTGGGGAGAGAATGGCAGGAGCAAAGAACCGGAGGAACACAAACCCGCTGACTGCTGAGTATTTGACATCAGGGTCCTCTGGAATATGAAGAGCAAAAGTTCATGAAAACAAAATGGTCCATAAACCATGCATGGACATGTGTGTTCAACACTATACGGTACAGTTTCAACTTTTCAGGCTAAAATGCAATGCCACAACTTCAACCATGACCCTCAGATGCTGTTGGAATAAGATGCAGAACACATGGAACTTTGAATAAAAATTGAGACAGCATAAAAATTTTAATTCGTTCACGAGGGAACAGAACATCCTGTGTGACACCCAACTCAACCAGAAATACATGTAGAGACAACATCCAGGTTTTTGGAACTATGACAGTCTGGGTGAAATTATTCATGTACAAGTACCTACATGTAGGGCACTTGTCATGCTCACTAGATACATTTAACACAGCATTGCTAAAGTTGCATTCAGCTGAGCAATACAGTGACCTCTTCCCTCAACTTATCAACTCTTTATGTTTCAACTCTTTAAGACCAACATCTTGCACATGTTACCCAGCAGTTAATCAGCAAGCAAACACAAATGCATCAGGAAGCTTCATTAGCCAACTTATCATTTCAAACACACACACACATCCACACAAAATTTAAACTCAAAATGCATGCATCAAAAGGAAAAAAAAACACAACTGGTTGTGCTATGAAAAAAGACTGCAAACACAGCCACTGGCAACCCCCTCTCCTATAAATTAAGAGCCAAATCTAGGTTGAAACTTGATAGTGGTTCTTTCCTAAGCTTTAAACTTCTGCAATCTGGGCTAGAAGCCCACCCTGGATGGGTTTTCAGTCCCCTGAAAAGTCAGCTGCCAAACCCTGTCAATTTCAAGCTGAATATTCTTCTGGGCTCTTTCCACCAAACCTAAAAAAACCCTGTCCTACTTCTCCCCGTTTCCTCTCTGCAGGTTTCTTCAGGCTTGTGAGCTACATGCACAGGTCTTCTTTGGAAAGAATTTCCCATTTCTTACAAGAAATAGTCAATAATCCTAACTAATAAACAAACACTGCTCGGTGGAAATGTCCATTCTCATGGTGTACCTGGGAATCTCTTCTGTGCTGCTTCTTTGATGGCGTAAAAGCACTCACACAGGCCAATGGGACAACCAATGGCCGAGTCCACAATGGCCTGGTAGGCTTTCTCTACATATTGCCGAAGGTTCCCCTGAGGAAGAATGGAATAAAATGGACCCTTTGCCTGACGAATGTGCAAGAACAATGTTGATTCATTGAAGCAGAAATCAGTGGTAATTATCCCCTGCCACTGTCCCCTGGCGAGTTTCTTCCTGCAATTGTTTCTAAGGAGAATGTGTACCTTGCTCCACAATATCATTCAAAATTTGATTCCCCAGTCATTGCATGTTGCTTCAACTTCTGCCTTTGTAAGCTGCCATGCATAAATACACAGTGTGTACTCCAAGGCAAGGCAAGACAGCTGCAATCCTCCGACTGGCAAATGAGTCCTCTTATATTATCTGAAGCACATTGGCAAGTCACTCTATTTTGAGTAGGTGCCATCTACTACTCCATCCTAAAATGCGCTCCCAAATGTGGAAAATATTCAGACTGACGGATACAAAATTACCTTGGCAGAGCAAAGGTAAATATTCATTCTAAAAACAAAACAGACCAAAACTCCTTTCAAAATGCATTTCAGGGTGTCAATCTTTCTTGTATAAAATCATTCGTTTTCAATTCTGTCAAACTGTGCTAGGTTCTCTCCTGTCCAAAAACTGTACACTTGCTCCTTTCTAAGAACTTGAGAGAAAAATTTCCTTTGTTTTTTACTTTGTCTGACCTCCATTGAAAGAAAACTGACCAGGTTTGTGTCCAGGCTGTCACCATCTTTCAGCTTGGAGGGGTCGATCTCGCAGGGCTTGCGCTCGTCGTAGATGCTCTCCAGGAGGTCCCGCAAGGTGTCGTAGAGGTAGTGAAGGCCCTCCATCCGCATGTATTCGTCAATGCATTTAGAGGCCAGGGAGTTGCCTCGGAAGATGGTGTTGGGATCACTACCAGAGGGAGACAAGGCTTTGGCTTACTGAGTGTTACAATACTCCCTTACACAGTCCTTTAGGTGGGACCAACAAATGTGACCCAACCCAACAAAGAGAGTTGCAAGTTGCAAGATCAACTTTTGTACAAGAATCTTACATTGTGTCAATCAATGAGAGCCCTCAACATTTTTCACCCACATATTGTAACGTTTTCAACAGAATGATAAAATGGGTGAGGCATTAAAACAACGAACTCAATGTGCTCTTTCTCGTGCAATCTTCTTTAAAAACAGAATTACCCGTCACCAAAAATCTGGCCTTAAGACTCTTTTCGTGAGATCCGTTCACATTTGATATATCAAGAGGAGGTGAAAAGTGAAGCACACCTCTTGGGGGGATGCTTGTAAAAAAAATAGGCAATCACTGTGGGCAAATTCCCCATTTCGACTCCCCCCCCACAATTTGGATATGTCACACAACCTGCTGAGCAAGGGGACCATATTAGGACCAAAAAATGTTATCACGGAGAGGGCATACCTCCAAAAATTGCTCGCCAATAATAAATTCAGATGCACAAGAGAAAGTGATAGTGAGTGAATATGTTCTTTTTATTAAATGCAAATACAAAGAGCAGAAGTGTGACATCATCCCAGGCAGTAAACCTTACATGTACACTGCACCGTGCACAAAAACTGTCGGAATCTGTTCTAACTTTCTGATCCCTTGGTGATTTACTGTTGTCTACATGTAAGTACACACACGGGAATAAGCCAGTAAGTAATCTTATATTTTCTCAGAAATATTTCAAAATATTTAAAGCAACTTTACAACTTCCACAGAAAACATCTGAACTGAACAGTGCCTTTCCTAATTTAACATCAGTGACAGTGCCCTCTATTATCCAGACAAGAGAATGGACACTTTCATATTTTTAACCACTTGATGCCGGATGATGTGTAAACACATGATTTCCTTTCTTTATTCAATGGAGGACGTGTACGCTCATTTAAGACTTTCTTTTTTTCATTTCTGCAGTTAACGTATTAACACGACTTGATTGGTTGGCTCAAAGTGCAATTTCGAGGTTGAAGAATCTGTGGGTAACCCCAAGCCAGTAGCTTTCTCGGGTAAGAAAATCTGATGTTGACTGGTTAAAACATGCACTTCTGATATAATTTGGACCAAAAGGGAAAACAAGTTTACATTAAGGTGGAGCACCGATACATGTACACGTATAGGGGTAATTACAGAAATTAGGGGTCCAAAAGTGTGGCACTTTTGTGTCCCTGTTACATCTGACCTTTGTTATTTGACATGTAAGTATCACCAGAATTGATTTTAACTCATTACTATTTGTTTGGCAGGTAATTTGCATCATCACTCTTATAAATTAGAAAAAATGTCATGAACTTCACAAGTAATATGTCAGATGTAACAGGGACATGAAAAAAAAAAGGACCCCTAATCTCCGGAGCTACCCATAAAGAGTCACAATTAAGAAGTGTGCAAATGGCTCAACATGTTCAAAGCTTTCTGTTGCAATTCACATACCGGTAAATTCTTCCGTTTGACTCTACAGGGCTCGTACAAATGACAAATAAGCTTCAACGAACAATCAAGAAGAACACAATGCAGGTTTTGTACAAGTGAGCATGATCCACTTCAAACAGCAAATGGCAAAGGTCACGGTCTGATCTCAAAACTCTCCCCGTAGACCACACATTGTCATTTAGATCACATGTACATCAAAACTAACGTGAACCTCACACAGAGGATTTGAATCCTAGGACATCCCGGGGCACATGGTAGGATGACAAAGAAAACAGCGGTTCACTGGCCACGGAAAAAGAACCTTCGTGGTTTTCGCTTTTTTGTCAAGAAATTACCTTGAGGGTATGTACGTGTACATGTAGCAAATCCAATAGTTCTATCTTCCCAGGATTTCTTTCATTTGTAATGCTTTAAGCCCTTGCGCAGGCGACAAACCTGCATGGCATTACCATAAGAACAAAAAAAAATTCCGCCCCATCTCCAGGCTCTGACTGATGAACATACCGGCAAAATTGAAATCCCCATGCTACAGGTTAGTGGCAAAAAATCCCCAGGGATGTGGAAGACCAACCCACGCGCTGCTGAGGTTGTGATCCCGGGAAGCCCAATGCATTCATTGACATGCATGAGGTTTATAGCACAACCCCCGCAACAAAGCAAGCCATACTTTTTCTTATTCAGCCATTTCTCATCCCCCCTCGTCCTGGGAGAGATCTGCTAGCATTTTACACAGGTGCCATTCTCCCCTTTTTCCATTAGTGAAGCAGCATGGAAAGAGGAGAAAAATGCCAAGTAGAAAAAAAAAGATCTGGAAAGAAGTATTGGATTCCGGAAAATGCATCTTGTGCACTACCAGGGGACAACAGACAACAAGGTTGGCTCAGCATCTGTCATCTTACATGTACACATACTACATGTACTTTTTACAACAGTTTGCAATGGTAACTTAATTCATGGCCGCAAGATTCTGTCTCTGAGGAAATCACCAGGGAAAAACACTGCCGTGCCAGTACAAGTGGCAAGGGAACAGAGTCAGAAAGTGGCAATTTGGGTGACTGAACTTCACTTTTGCCACAGATATTCTGATAGCATATGAAAGAAACGATATCTGTGCTATCATTGTGGGCTAGTATGGCTAGAATGAGCTTACCAATCATTTTTGCATTTTTTTGGGTTCAGAAATTTCAAGAATAACTCCCACACCAGACATTGCTCTGCTGCTTTATGCATATCATATGTGTCCTCATACATACGTGTAATGTAACATAGTATGTGTTTTACGTGATTAACAAAGCTATCCCTGCAAACTGAAAATAGCATTAGATCCATTTCAATGGCAACAATACACAGAGGTGAGAACAGAAGAAAACTATGAAACATTATGCAGAGGCGCAGTATCAACATTCATTCTGCGTGTTCCATGACTTTCAATAGATGTCAATGCATTGATTCTTTCTGAATGGATAGGAACGAGGTGATCTTTCAGTTGATTTTTTTACAAAGACAAAAAGGAGCAAAACTTACACAATGAAGCCTTTCAGAATTAAAAATTTAGGGGTAAAAAATCCAAAATTCCTGAAAAAATCTGGGAAAATCACATCCCCTGACTCGGGCATTATCCAAGAGAAAAGCAGCCAATGCTATGAAAGCCCCGTCCTTCTTTCTTTCTTGCCCAAGAGAAATGATATTTGTCACCCTAGGCAGTTCATTACAGGACAGCCTTTGGCAGACAAGGACACTTCTCCCAGAAGCACCTGACCATAATTGGACAGCTCTTAAATGACAGTCTCACACTAAAAAAAGGACAAAACCAAACAAACAACCCTTATTCCCATAAGGACCTCTTGACAAGGATATAGCATTTGAACAATTTTCAAAGACTGGTGTGTCTTCCCCGGGGGGTTAATTAGAAAAAACCAATTGCACTTTTCCATCAGAAATAGCCTTGTGAACAACACTGAAGACGAGTTTTGTTTTAGTTCATGTCACACAGCATGAAATCTGGTAGTCACTCAGTGCTCTTGCTTTTTTTTAAATGTTTTTGAAGCACACAGCTGTGTTCACTATGCACCATTCAACAATCACGTGGTCCAATATTTTCAAGGTTTTTTTCCAAGTCATGATGCCAGTATTCGTTTGAAGATGCTCACATCTTTTGTTTGACCCAGAACAAACAGGTGCACTTGAAGTGCAGTTCTGCATTGCTGGCCTGTACATTTCCATTAATTAATAACAGCCAGGTCAGTCAATCAAACAGGACAGTTCTGCATAAGTATATGTCCATGTAGGTGCTTTGACCATTCAACAGACCTGACCCTGACAAGTTCTGGCACAAACTTTGCTTTACTGTCATTTGCAAAAGTTTAAGACCACCTGGAATTTCATTGGTATTTTTGTCACTGAACCTGCATTACATTGTCTCATTGAATGATTACTTAATATGTTTTTACAGTGGTGCATAACATCAGTGTAGTTCTATATAATACCATTTGAATGAAACTTTTTGTAAAGGCAAGTCTTGTATGGCATTTTGTCTGTATGAAAGCATGGGTGTTCAGAAATAAACAAGGGCACGCTAAATATTAGACTGTTGACATTTCAAATAATGGAAATGTAGTCAAATGGCTGTTTATTAACCAAAGCACTAAGGTTACACATTGAAAATAAACATAAGTTGCCATGATTGATAGGTTTAAGTTTGCTTTTCTTCAGGTTAATGCATTTTAAAATGGGTGGTCCTAAATGTTTGAAAATGACTGTAAATTTATCTAATACAAGAAGACAACCTAAGACAGATACTAAAAGACCATTAAAGTGTGACTAAGAAATCCTGGCTAATTATATGAAGTCTCTGTACAGCTGTAAGGGAAAAAATATCAGTTTGTAAGCACATCATGATTTGCTATCAGATTTTAGTATCGGTGACAGTGCCTCCATATGATGTCATACCTCAGTTAAGTGGGGCAGGGACTTTCCCGACAACCAAATGGGTTATCGCAAGCACATCATTTTCTCACCTTGTCTCTGACACCTCCTGACGGGCCAGCGACTTGATGAGCGCGACGACCGCATTGTGGTGGTGGAACAATCGGATCAGGGGCTTGGCCGCCTCGACTTTGTCCTTGACAAGGTTGCCTAGGATTTGGACAGCACTGGCAGAGGTGGGCTTTGAAAAAAGAAAAACAAGAAGAGCTTTAAAAAAAAGAAAGGAACAGGAGGACAAGGAAGGGAAAAAAATCTTTTCACATGCGGAAGGATTGCCTCATTCAACGTTTTCCTCTTCACGTGCAATCTGACAGTGTGTCAAGGGTCTTGAGTGGGGAAAAGGAAATGGGGCATTTGTTCCCTGTGAATACATGTACAGTGTATGGTACAATGTACCAGTGCACCTGATGTCCATGTTGTGAGACTCGGCAACTGGTCAGAAAATTGTTTGTTTAAAAGGAAGACTTTGAAACTTGTAATGTCTGGATATGGGCTTTTATTATTTGGTACATGTCAGAGACGTATGACTCAGCTTTAATTGTGAATTGGAACTTCCCCTTTTTTAACAATCTTCTGTCATAGCAAGCTCATGAAAAAGGGTGTTGTTAACTTTGTGACATGTCCAGAATCCAACAGAAAGTAATTAAAAAAAGCTATCTGTTGTTTGCAAAATGTACAAAATGTGTGCACCAACTTCGATACAACATGTACCTGGAGGTGTGCTTGCCTTCAACTTTTAACCAGACTAAAGGCCAAAAACATCATGCGATCTTATAGGGCTCATTAATTTCCATGAAGTACTGCATGATGTTAACGCAATACATGCACTTCATGACAAGGATAATATCAGCTATTTTTTCACTAAATAGTAGTTTCTTGCTCACGCATCCATGTACAGCTGAGTATTGATGCTGAAAAGAAATCTTCCATCAGGACTGTGCAAAATCTTTTAAAATTTTACATGGCATCATTGTATACATGTGCATTGTCTTCCCCTTGCAACCATTTCCCTTTGCAACAAAATCCCTTTTCAACATTCAAAGTGATAATAACCAACACATCATTTGACACTTATTCCTTGTATTGAAGGAGCAACGCAGGTGCACTGGAACGTACATGTACCAGTGTATAAATATATTACAGTATAACCAAATACATTCATAACTATGACAAAACATGCACAAACTCAGAATAAAAGACAAACCTCAATCTCCGGGGATCTCAGCAGAATGTCCCTGAGAAGGCTGTAGTGCTGGGACGGCAGGACGTGATCCTGCTGGTAATTGATGCGGACCCGCAGCGAGCCCAGCTCCACCCGGCTCTGCTTGCTATTCTCCCGTGGTTTCAAAAAGTACCTTGAAGAACAGAAAAAAAATTTATTAACAGTGCAGGCTACAAAAAACAGTTGGGACATGACCTATCTCTTTCGGACTAATGAGAGCCAGACGAGAGTGGATGGAGGAAACAAGGCTGGAAGACAGTGGAGTGAGAGGACGTGATTCAGAGCAAGTGTGGTGCTTGTTCATGGGTCAGCTATGCTTAGTAGTCTTGCATACAGAGAGAACTGGCCTTGCAGCACAAAGCACATTCTTTAAAATGGTTTTGCATAGTGATGCCAAGAGGACAAGTGCTCTGCTATATACAAGGTTATGGCTTCTTCGTCATACAAAAAAACAGAAGAAAAAAGGCCAGTTAACAAATACCAAATGTTCTTGACAGACTCCTGTTCATAAAAAGACTTCATTTAGAAACAGCACATGTACAATATGCCTAAGATACAAAGTCATCACGAAAATGCAGCACATTGCATGTACATTAAAAAAATGGCATACATATACACGTATCCCACGAAAGAGCATTTGAGCTTACAGTATTGAAAGGTTATGTCATAATAATTTCATACACTTCTTGCAAAGCAAGTCATAACTTTGATCTGTTGGACTTACTGGCAAGAAATTAACCTAAAAAACGAGTCTATCAGCCATGATATCTGTGTGCACTCTTCCCCAAGGATGCATGGCACACTCAGATTCAACTTCAGGTGTCAAACTGCCCATCAATTGTTAAATACCAATTGGCTTTCTCAGCACACTAAAAGTACATCCAGAATATACATGTCCAGTGTGGAAAAGCAAAGAGGAAACTACAGCCTTGCATTATCAGTGTAACGTTGCCAGCATGCCAGGGGCATATCCGCCTGGCCAATCAACTCAAAGTCAGATCAACCTGAATGCCAAATCAATCCCGAGATTGAATTGCCAGGAGTGTGTGCTTGATCATGCAGCAGCTGTCTTTCTGTTGCACTATAGGGCAAGTTATTTCATTTTTAAATGAATTCAGGTCTGTGTAAGATTAAACAGCAGCACGCGTGAATCATTTAAAGAGCTTTTTATTTTGCATTCCTCTCTTTCATACAAAGCTGATCTCCCTTTTAATTGTGGAAAACCATGGCAACATTACCATGCTTTGTGCACGCCACTCGACAGGTTGATTGTTCCCAATGTTAGACGAACCTCGCCAATAAAGACCCCTTCACCAAGCGAGGTTGAGTTCCACATGGCGATTCTGGAAATAATATACAAATCCATTAACCTTCTTGCATTTTCAAGTGAGACCATTTCTCAGCATAATTGAAAAGTCAGTGCTTCCTGTTCAAGTGCATGTCCCTTTCCGATAAGCTCTCTTAGAACCATTTTGCACTTTATTCAAGGTAACCTTTAGAAAAATTTTTTAAATATATCTCTAAAAGGAGTCCATTATTTACCTCCTTCCTCACCAAAATCACTGAATGCTTTAAACGTTCACTCCAGCTCCATTTAAAAGAATATGCAACACGTACTATAATATTTCTGAAAAAAATTCTGAGCTGAAAAATGTATACATGTAGGTGCTTGGCCGAGGACTGACTGAAGTTTTAAGTTCTTAAAAATAGAGTTCAAGGTTATGGATCAGTATAAAGTGGGCCTAAAATTGTTGACAAAATCAGCATTTTATGGCGCTGTGGTCAGGACAGTAAGCCTAGATGTATCTGCCTGCCAGGCAGTGGAAGGGTTGTTTTTTTTATTCTCCAAAATATCAATGGCTTCCTGGAATGATTTAGGACAGATCATCTTTCAGGGAAACATCGGCCTAAGGTCATCATACTCTCCTAGAAAATTGGCCAGAAACTGGAAAACTGTGAATTGAAACACCTATAGAGGCTTTGCATGGTAGTCATCTTGGAGGGCAGTTTTTGTTCTGGGGGGAAACCACCCTTGTCTGCTTGTGCATACCCTGTGAAACAAAAGCACTGACCTACAAGATGGCCGTCCTGCAAACCGTGTATGTATGTGTACCTGCATGTACTCCTGAGAGTCCTGGACATTTATCAGGGGTGCCCACAACCATTCATTTGCTAGTCCGCCATGCTTGCATTTTATATTAATGTAAATGATACCTGCTGTCTCAACCTTTAGTTTATTTAAGCTTCTGTTTTCATTAAAGGGTGTGCACACCCTATGGAAAAATATTGCTGCAAATGCAAATTTAATAGCCACAGTCAGGTGTTAGCAAGAACACCTCTTTCAAGAAAGAAACAGGAATGTGTTTGCTCTGACAACATCTTAAAAACTGTTTGATAGCAGTACAGCATGGCAGATATTGGTGCAATTGATTGAATGGACCGGCTGACCAAAGACAAAATTGGAGAGGTCCCGCAAACAAAGCTGCGATGGAACAGAAATACCCTGGACAATTTCCCTCAGTAAAAACAGAACAAATTCAACTAGGGCTGGGGGGAAATGAATTGTTGTACTGTCCACGACCGGATGGAGAAAACAAGTGAGCAGGTGAACATTCCCCCTCCCACCTTACAATTTCGATTTGTCACGGCAGGGAAGGGCACTCACTTGAGGTCATGTTTGCCGGTCTCGTCTTCTGAGCAGGAATTTGTCTTACTTTCTGCCGCACCAGTTGCCTTCGGAAGCTGCCAACAAACAGAAACATGAAAAAGAGGGGTAGTCAATGGAAAATGGAATCTTAAAATCAAACCATTGCTTAATGCAAAGGTGCACTTCATACTAGCAATGAAATGACCAGAATTAAATCATCCTACACACACAGTGTAGGTATAAACAGGGCAATGCCACACACCGTACATCTAAAAGTGGATAACTTGTCATGATGTTATTAAACCAACCTCACTGTAATAAGCACATATGATTCTCAACAAAATTAGGTTTTTGAAAACCAGAATGTGAAAATAATAAGATAATTACTTCTCCTTTCACTTTCATTTCTTTTGAAAGTTCCTGTTTGTTTGTAAATTACAGTTAATAATGAGGTCAATATTTAGTGCGACAAAAAAAATCCACTTTTGCATGGAATTGCTGTACAGTCCCCAAGATATTGGCAGGCCCACTTGTATATCAAGCACTCTGGCCCAAGCAGTGGTGGCGCAATTATGCTGCAATTGGGGGGGGCATTGGGGAACAAAGAAATATTGGGTAAGGGGACGTCAAGACAGTACTCTCCGAGTCTGAAAGAATGAAAGTAGTGTCTAGACATTCTATAGTAAAAATCACTCTCACATTTACATGTAGATTGAAAGGGTTTGAAAAAGAGCTCCCTCCAGTGGAAACTCGATTGAAGTATTGATCTATTAGAGTGAAGAAATTTCACTCCAGCTCATCTGGTCTCTACATGTAGGTGTCAAACGGAGGAACATGAGGAAGTGAATATGCACCCAAATGGAGTGAATTTTCACTCTTTGGAATTAAGTTAGCATCTCGCTTGCAAAAAACCTAAAATGTTAACTGCAGACTTACTGACTAGCACTGTGGAGAGTGTTTGGTATATTAACCACTTCATGTC